CAAATACTGTTTTCCTATATTCAATCTTTCCGTATTTTGTTTTTTTCCTTAATAAGTTGATTGAGTAAAATCAGGAATTATATACCTTGATTTTCTCTGCTAATTACAGCCTAAGAATTAGTTGAGTTACTAGAAATAAGGGCAGAAATCACTCAGCCCTCTTGTATATAATGACCTCTTTGTATCAAAATAAAGGTGTGGCAGATTCAATTCTTCAATTCAGAAATTTTCATGGTATCAGAGTCAGGTTCTCTGAACTGATCATCCCTCTCCAGCCTATTCTCTCAATTTTTTCCTCGCTCTATTCATTTTTTTCCTTCTTTCATCACCGTCATCTCGTGATCATTCTCTATGACGAAATATGGTATGACAATTGAACGAGAAAGCTCCAACTCCAGTTAGGAAATTCCAGTTACTGGAAACAGTGGAGATAACAGCGGTGTTATTCCAATCACAAGTCACAAGTTAAATGGGCACAATTTCTTGCAGTGGTCTCAATCCATTCTCATGTTTGTCCGAGGAAAAGGCAAGGATGATCATCTCACAGGTCTCTCGGCCTCACCAGGAGAGAAAGACCCCAAATATAGATCATGGAAAGCCGAGGACAGCATGGTTATGTCCTGGTTGATCAATTCCATGATCAATGATATAGGTGAAAATTTCCTTCTATATGGTACTGCCAAGGAAATTTGGGATGCTGCAAAAGAAACTTACTCCAGTAATGAAAATACCGTCAAATTGTTTGGTGTGGAGACGATCCTTCATGATCTCTGACAAGACGAATCTTCTGTTACCCAATACTATAATAATCTAACTCGTTACTGGTAGCAGTTAGATATGTTTGAAGAGCACGATTGGGAAAGTCCAAATGATGGAATTCAGTATACGCGGATCATTGAGAAAAAATGGGTGTTCAAGTTTCTAATGGGACTTAACAAAGATTTAGATGAGGTACGTGGAAGGATTTTGGGAACAAAGCCTCCACCAAGTCTAAGAGAAGCCTTCTCGGAGGTAAGAAGAGAAGAAAGGCGAAAAAAGGTGATGTTGGGAACTCCAAACAATCAGCCCACCATGGAAGGAATAGCTCTAGCCATACGCGGCCCTCAACCAAGTAACCCAGATAGCAGGATAAAAAAGGGGAGGCCCTGGTGTGATCATTGTCGAAAACCAGGGCATACCAGAAAAGCATGTTGGAAGCTCCATGGGAAACCAGCCGACTAGAAGCCCTCACGCTTATCTCATGAAAGTCACGGCAATGCCACATCCTCAACTAATGAAAATGGCACTTCTGAACCAGTTCTCTTTAACAAAGAGCAACTTGAACTTCTAC